AAGAAGAAGAAGAAGAAGAAGAAGAAGAAGAAGAAGAAGAAGAAGAAAAGAAGAAGAAGACGACGACGACGACGAAGACGAAGAGGCGCGCGAGAAAGTTTCGTTTTCTTTAATGCCCGAACGATATACGAAAATAGAGTGGAAGTTTAGAACAATAACACACGTACGTGCATGCTTCTTTTTTTCCCTCTCTCGTTTCTCTTTTCTCTGTCTTCATCCTTTTCATTCGTCTTTGTTGGACGCGTGTGTCCGTTTGTGGTTTCGATGCGGGTGTGAGTAGCAGGTAGAGAACATCAAGGTAACGAAAGCAACGAAGCGGGAAGCAGTGTTCGAACGTTCTCAAACGTTTTCTGTCATTTTTCCCCGTTTAAAGACGCCAACGGCGCTTTTTTTCACGAACAAGCTGTGAGAAAGCAGTGACGATCGAAAGTAATTTGACGAAAATGCGATACGAGTTGTTAAGTCGCCTAGCGTAGTATATCGCCTAGCGGCGACGGGCCCAGAGAGAAGCGGCGGAAAAATGGCGTCCGATAACGAAGCCTCTTGCGCGAGTGACCCAAATTTCGCGGTGATTTGTTCGTTTCTCGAGTGCTTCGGCAAGTCCTGTGGCATCGTTTACCCTGATATTGCACGCCTTCAAGAGATGCTTGAAAACACGCAAGAGGGTGAGTAACACCTGCATGCTTACGTGTATGTGTAGAAAAGAGAGAGAGAAAATGATTGACCCGCCCCCGCGAGGCCAGAACTCTCGCGTGTCCTATTAGCTGTCTTTTGCATTTTCGCCCGTTTTTCCTTTGAAGTTTTACGTTATTTCACATCTTTTTTTTTTTCTCAACAATTCTCGTGTTATTTTCAAGTAATCATCTTATTCCGGATAAATACAGGGTATGAGATTTATAGTTGTTTTCATCCCCATTTTTCAGCAGAATTCTATATATCATTCTTACGGATCTTCGTCATTTTACTTATTTACTTTTCATAGTAACGGTTACCAGTAAGAAAATCTATTAATTAATTAGCAGTTATTGATAATTATTCGTATCAAACTCATTATTTCATTGAAATAGTACTATTATTGACAGCTTAGTTCAATTTACTATCCACTGTTGTTATTTTCTCATGTGCTGCCACCTCCCTTGTTGTCAACTTCGGTTACACGTGATTACGAGTTATGAATCGCGCGTCAAATTAGTGATTTGGAAATAATCGTTTCAATGATATTAATATTTTGAAAGTTTATTAGTTTTTTTTACTGATTGTGCACGTCTAAATAAAAACTTTTGATTCATTATGCAAAATCTTTGTAGTTTTTGACGTATTTTTAATAAAGCTTACTTTAAACTCTAAATTTATTTCTGTCGGAATATTTAATTATATTTATACATATTTCATTTCTACTTACAACCACGTTTCTTTTTAGTACCACAACAGTTGATTGATCTCCACATCAAATTATTACGAAAAACACGTAAAACAGTATCGCCAGAAAAATGGGAACGTGCACTGGTTAAATTCTGCCACACGTACTCTAATCAAGATGGATGGGAACTTGAACGTTTTGGTTATAAGAAAGCCCGTATTGCAGTTAAACTACGACTACTTAAAGTATAAACATAGTTATTTTATTATATACTGTAAAATGTGCCAGTTGTGTCTCTTTGAAAAGAAAAACATTGATGTTTATCTTTGTATACTATGTTTATATTTTGTTTATGTATGTTTTACAAAAACTATTTTCATTGCAGATTCTTTTAGAAACACAATTTGATCAAAATCAAAAGTTTAAAAATGAAGTAAATAAATTAGCAGCTAAGGAATTACGGGTAGAGCCTTTAGGAAGAGACAAATCTGGTTTAGCTTATTGGTGTCAGCTTGACGAAGAGTGCAATATAAGAGTTTATAGAGAAGATATAGATGAAGAAAATTGGGAACTTGTAGCTAAGTATGTGTTTAATATGAATGTGAATATTTTTAATTTTATTGATTGATTATAAATTCATTAAATATGTTTAGGGATCGAGAAGGTGTAGTTAATCTTATAAATACCTTATCAAATGGAGAGATTGGAGCTATTCCAATTAATGAAGACAGTAATAGTTTAGAAATTTCTGAGAAACCTATTATTGATACGGGACAAATATCTACATCACCAAGTTTGGAGGATGTGCAGGAAAATGGCATTCGCAATGAGGGATCTGATGAAAAAGAATTAGATAAGAGTGGAGGTGAAGATTTTGAGGATGATCGAGAACAAGATGATATTAACGAGGGTGATAATATTGAGGAAGATATGGATGGTGAAGATGAAATGACAAATGATGGAAGTTCTAAACAAAATACTGAAGAAGATGATTCCCAGCAGACAATACAAAATGAAGTAGTAGAACCAAATTCTACTGAAACATCGTCATTATTGTCACCAAGTCCTCTCAAAATTTTAAATGGTAAGATTGATATATTATCTGAGAAAGAAACAGTTTCATCTCAGGAGAAAGAATTAAACATTACTCAGAACTCGACTACTATTATATCTAATGATACCAAACCTACAGAAACATACAAATGTGAAGAGCATGCAACAGTGAGTAATTCAAAAATTGGTTCTGAGGAATCAATGCCTCTTAAATCAATCGAAACACCTGTTATTACATCTCCTCTTAAATTAGTAAATGTTTCTGAAATGAAACAAGTACACGAAGAAAAAGTCATTACTGGAATAGCACATACGTTAAATATAACAAAGAAATATGAAGATTCAGCAGATCAAATCATGAAACCACTAGACAAGTTATGTAATAAAAATAATTTCCCCTTTACACCTACTGACATACCAACAAGTCATAGTAAATTGTCTGTAAAGCCGATAGATCAATTGGCTGCTAATCTTGTGAGGATGCAATCTGAGAAACTTGAAAAACCAAGTGGAGCAAAATCATTAGAGAAAATCGCGGAAAACTTAGCGCGATCAGGAAGTATTGTGGGAAACGCAATAAATGGAGATGATGATAGAACACCACAAGATTTTTGTGCAAGAAGTCAAATAGACAAAATGAATTCGCTTCGAGAACATAGAGGTATGGATTTGTCTACATCACCCAGAGGATGGGAGAGCACGAATGAGCAGAACAGACCAATGGATTTTTCTGGAATCGATTTATCTAGTCGAAAATTTAATAAAACCATGGATTTACCATCTCCCGGGTACAGGACACAAGATTTTCAACATAGAGAAATGGATCTTAGTACGAAAAAGTTAAATAAACCAGAAGTTACAAATTTACCGTACGATGCTCGGATGATGATGCGTAATCATGCTATGGTAGCAGATTTAAGTAAAAGGCAAATGTCATTTCCTGGTTATGATATGTCTTCTGCTCCATTTCATAATGCTACGAGAATATCTACTAAAGACGATCACAGATTACCAAATTATACGATATTGCCAGATCCGAGTAAAATTACGGCTCTAAGAATGAATCCGACACCAGTGAAACGTCCATTAGAAGGAGATGATATACAACAAGACATACTGAAGAGAATAAGAGCGGATGTAATACCAATTAGAGGTTCCATGGATAAGAGATCAATAATGAATAGTAATTGGAGAGACGAGGTTGGTGAGGCTATTGAGGAACCAATGATAATGATTCAAGGTGAAGGGTCCGGTAGTGATTGTGACGCAGTTAATCCTGGGCTTGGAGAAGCTGTAGAGGAACCTATAATTTTTTTTTATGGAGAAGGATCTGGTGAGGACTGTCAAACAGGTAATCCTGGTGAAGAAGCAACAACTGACAATAAAGAAAGCAACGAATCAAAAACTGAAGCTGATTCTGCTACTTCTTCCCTGCCGAGTAAAAATTTAAGCGATGATAGCCTTATAAACGAAGTGTCTACTGGATCGTTAGTAACAAGTAAAAATGCCATAAAATTAAATAGAAATTATCCACAATCGAGCATTAACATAAAAAGTAATTGTCAAACTATAGGTTCAACGCAAGAAAGGTCAAAGTTCAAACCATCATTGGGCATTCAAATAATACCAAAAAATACCAACAGTTCTGTAAAAAGGATATCGAGATGGGACGTTGGAAAACCAGAAGAAAAACCAGAATGTGACAGCAGTATCATATCAAACGAAGAAGACATATCACAGAAGAAAAATAAAATTGAATGCGAAGATTCCTCTAGTAAAAATCGAAATGTTAAAATAGATGAAAATTCTGTAATTACTGAAAATTCAACTTCACAAAAAAAGAATGTAGAAACAGAAAATTTACAGGATACTACAGAAGGAAATTCCCTGAGGCAAAAACTGAGTCCTGTTTTTCAAGATTCTGTGCAGTGTGATTCGTCTATTTCTTCATGTCAAGCAGATACATCAGAAACACTTGAATTTTATTCAGAAACTACATCCACATCTCAGTCAATTAGTAATAAAAATACTACTGAAAATGATTTCGACAGCGTAACTTTGCATGAAACAAATATTTCAGAAAAAGTAGATAATGAATGTAAACCAGCAGTTGCATCACCACCAAGATTTTTTTTCGGTCCTAATTGTATTTCGTATACTTCTAGAACAGAAATATTTGAATCGTCATCTGATCATGCAGTTTCAACAACTATAGAATCCAAATCTGATACACTGCAATATGGATGTGTTTCTTCTTCCAAACCAGCAGAGGATGTAATTACTTCTTATACGTCAGCTAATTTTGATGTAATGCAAATTAATAATAATTCGTTAAAAATAAATTCGTATGCACCTACGAGTAATAGTTCACTTTGTGAAGATGATAATAAGAATAAAATAGAGAAGGTTGAAGGATCAACTAATATATGGGAACAAACAGTTCCTTCAAAATATTCTGTAGATGAAGAACATTGTGCAGTGCAAAAAAAAGAAATAGATTTGTCTAATTCTGAATCAAAAGAAGAAAATTTTAAATCTTTAGTACAAGATTCTATCTCTAGTAGTGAAAATACAAAAACCGAGTACATGAAATCTCAAGAATCAGAAATATCAGACATAATTTCACACCCTCATAGTACGAATGATATAAATAAGGAAGATATAAGTATAAAGCCTGACAATGCAATTGTAACACCATCTACAGTGCAATTTGACTCAAATATTGAATCTATGCAATTTGAAATATTAAAAGAAAATAATACGTTAGAACAACTGGAAAGTCAGACTAAAATATCAGATTTACAAAATAATACCAATAAAAATGTGGAAACGTCAATTCTTTTTTCTAAAAACGAAGATAATTATAAATCATCTGATAAATTGACATTTAAAAAAATTGAATCAGAAATGGATCCAACATGTATCAATAATTCGTATTCATCTTTTGCTCAAAATTCAGAATTAGGTTGTACAAGTAGAAAAGACTTTTCTGCTTATCAAGAAGTAGATAGTTCGGCAGAAAAAGAAATGGACTGTGTTTCTGAGAAAGAATGTGATTTGTCTGTTGAAAATTCTAAACAAAATGATAATATCCCAGAATTTCATAGTAGTCGAGAAAAACAATTGATAAATCCTGATAATAAAAATATGGAAAGTTTAACTGATTCTGATACACATTTGGCACATAATTGCACTAAAGATAGTAAGCAAAGAGAAATTTCACAACAAAATGAAATTTCAGTTGGTGCATTTATCAAAAATTCTGTGCCTGATATTAATACTGAATTAGATTTCACAGATAATTCCACTGTTACTAGTTCAGAATCAATCGAACAATGTAACAAAGATGCGTTAGTTCCTACAATAAGTAGCTCAGATGATAATTGCATTCAAGACACTTCTGTGTGTGAAAGTGTTAAAGTGCATTCAGATTCTGAAAAATTGTCCTTTAAAGATGAATTTTCTATTTACAATGTATTACCAGAGACAGTACCTGACACAAATAATTTTAAACCATCCAAATCTGATGCAGTTGAAACTGAAGAAGAAACGAATGTATCTAATATAACTGCAACATTAAAAGACCAAAGTTCCTGCATTGATCAAGGTTCAAATAAAAATATGATTATTGGTGATGAATTATCAAAACCTGAGAAATCTCCTAAACTAAATGAAGAAAAAAAATGTTCTGATGAAAATTTGTCATCTAATGAAGTTATATGTGATAATATTTCATTGGAATTATGTTCATCTTCTGATGAAACAGATAAATGTGGTGCTGTTATTGAAAGAAAAAAAATAGAAAACATCAATAATATAGAAGATATTCAGCAAAAATCGGATGGCACTATGGAATCTATAATTTCAGAAGAAAAGATGATTGAACAGGATGAAAAAAGTGAAAAGACCCAAGTTGAAGAAAATAATATAAAAGATGAAGAGTTAATTTCTGGAAATAATACTGTAGAAAATGCAAGTAATACTCAGCAAGAATGCATTATCCAAAAATCAAAGTCAGAGGAACCAAAACTAAATCAAATAGATACAAATCCTGTAAATCTACAAGAAACAAACAAAGTGAAACAGTCTTTAGTTGCAAATTATGAGAGTAGTGATTCCAATGATGATAGTAATGATGTTTTTGAGACCCTTCAAAGAGGATCAGTTGAAAATAAAAATAATTTGTTTACAGATTTAAAAGAAACAATGATTAGTAATGAATCAAAAGTAAAACAAACAGTTGAAAAATTAATTACAAAGGATGAAACATTGCCTGAAGAAATACAGATTACAGTTACTGATAAGAAACAAAGAGATTCAATGTCAGAAAATAGTATTCAAAAAATGGAAGACGAAGAAGTAGAACGTAAAAAGGAAATGATAAGTAACAAAGAAATAATTGAAAAAGAATATAATTGTATCATTAATCAATTTGATTTAAATGAAAAATCAATTATACATGAGAAAAAAGATATTAATATTTCGGAAGAAAGTAGCACTATGGAATTAAAAACAGAGATATCACCAATTTTTTCTGAAACTGAATCAGTGAATAAAGAAAATGTAAATTTAACGCAAACTAAAACAAATAATTTAATAGATGAAGTAAGTGAAACAGAAAATAATGGTTTAGTTCAACTTCCAGAAAAGATCATGAATACAGTTTTTGAAGAAAAAAATGATCCTCAAACAGTAAATTCTGTAAACATAATCAGAGTTCAAAAACAAACAAATGACAGTATTGATTTTAATGATATTAAGAGAGAAATATATGAAAATTTAAAGGAACAACCTATAAAACCTATGGAGGAAAAATTAATAACAAGTTTTGATAATGAGATCCAATTTATTAAAAATAAAGAAGTTGAACATGTTACAGAAGAATTTCCAATCATAGAACCATACAATAAATTAACAGAATTTTCAGAATTCAGTAATAAAGGAAATAAATTTGATATGCATTTACATAATGAAGGAGATTTCAATAAAGATTTACGTGAAAATGATACAATTATTCATTCTGTACAAAATATTTTGCCACTTGACAAATTTGACAATACATCCTCAGGTATACATAAATCAGAAATATATAAAAATAACATTTCAACTGTATCAGAAGATTTCAAATCTATGGATAACTTACAGCTTGCAAATTTTATATCCGAAAAATCAGAAAATTTATCTATTACAGATAATCAAGGGAAGCATAACGAATCATTTCATATTACAAATAAAACTGTAGAATGTCTTCCTGAAAATACTGTCTCTAGCCCAAATAATAAATCAGCAATTTTTAATACACAAGAAACTGCATCGGAATCTACAATCATAAATGATTTTAAGAAGGAAGCTGGTAAAAGATTGAGCGACGTTTCTGATATTCAACATGTTCCTCCATTAAAATCTAAAATTCTATGTACAGAATCTAATGAACAAATATTAGAAGACTTGACAAATTCTAAAATAGAATCGGATCAAAATGTGGATAATTTTAAACAAGATGAAATTGATGAAACCAAAATATGTGAAGATGTGGTATCTGATGGTATCACGGAATATTTAACAAAACATAAATCCAGTACAATAACAATGGCTGATACGGCGGATAATGTGTTGAATGATGTACAAAGAGACAATGATGAAAATGATGAGAAGAAAGAGAGCTCAGAAATTCAAAGTATCGAAGTGAAAGCAGTCTCCTTAGTATCTGATGATTCTATGGAAGTAGACAACGAAAATTTATTCGGTACAGTTTCCGAAGAAATGGATCCTTTAGCGTGTACTGATGACGATACGTTTAAAAAATTAGGCGATACCGAGCAAAGTGACATCTCTGCTCCAAAAATAGGTTTACGAGTTAAACCCGTATCTGAACTTGTTTACGATGGGTGGAAATTGGATTCCATTGAATCACCAAAAATATCCCGTAAACGACGTCATAGTTTCCATGAATCAAATTTTGAAGATACAGTTGCAAAACAAAATGATGAAGAAATAATAGAAAGTAAAAGAATAAAATTACGTGCGAAACGTATACCTGATGAAGAATTGCGAAAATCTCTAGAGGAAAGTCGTGTTGTAACAATAAGTTCGGAAGATGAGGCTGTGAAATGTAGTGCTGAAAAGTCGGAAGATCAAGAAGTTAAAGATGCCAGTGATGATCAAAATACTACTCATTCGGTTACAATTGGAAGAAAAGCAAGAGGACGTCCTAGAGGAAGACGAAGGCGCGGTTATAGAGGAAGCGGACGTTCTGCTCGATCAAAACATTCAGAATTTCAAAATATTCAACCTTCTGAGGTATCGCCTGAAATTCATCTTGATGGAACGCCAAGTAATAACGACTCTTTAAATATGACACCAATTTCACAGAAGAAACGAAAGAAAAGTAAATTTCTATTCATATGTTTTTATATGTTTATACAGTTTAAAAACAATATACAATTTACTACGTAGAAAAATATTGTTCATAGGAAAAATGGTTTTGGGCCTAGAAGTAGGTAGAGATATTGTTCCTGAAACACAGACAGGATTAATCCAAGATGAAACACCCGTAAGACAGTCTAGAAGAATAGCACAATTAAAAATTAAAGAAGAAGCAGATAGACGAAGGATAGAGGAAGAGACTTCAAATGAAAGAAAAGAAAAGAAAGATTCTATGGAGAAAAAGAAGCGAAAGAAACCAAAGGTACATTTCTATTTTACGCTTCTCAATTAATGTTAATATATTATATAATTATTACAATTTTTTAGCCTGAAAGTGAAGAGGAGATCGTGATAAAAGAAACAGAGAAAGAAAAGAAATCAAAAAAGAAACGTAGAAAAAGGAAAAAGAAGAAAATGTTGGCTAAATTTAACGAAGCAAATCCATGGCAAAGTTCTTCAGGTTCTAGTAGTGATGATGAAAATGAGAATGAAGAGGAAGAAGATGAAGAAGAAGAAATAGAGAGTGAAGGATCTTTGCTTTTCAAAAGTGATCATGAATTTTCACCTGAAAGCGATCTTGAAAAAGATCAAGAATCTGAGCCATTAAGAAGAGCAAGAACTGCACAGAAAGGTATTATGATTACTTAAAAAATTTAATAAATTTTACTAAAATGTACTTGAATGTACTTGTATCAACATTATTTGATTGTAGCTCAGAGTGATGTTGAAGAAGCAGATGATGAGTATGCCTGTCAAAAATGTGGTAAAGCAGATCATCCAGAATGGATACTTTTATGCGATTCTTGTGACAAAGGATGGCACTGTTCTTGCCTTAGACCTGCACTCATGCTAATACCAGAGGGTGATTGGTTCTGCCCTCCGTGTCAACATGTAAATTTTTAATTTTAACATACTTATTGAATAAGCTATTTATTTAAAAAAATTTTATCATAAATACTTAATACTTTAGAACTTGCTGGTGACTAAATTAAGAGAAAGCTTGAAAATGTATGATCAATTGACGAAAAGACATGAAAATGAAGTTTTAAGAAAGAAGAGACTAGCATTTGTCGGTATAAGTCTGGATAACGTCCTTCACAAAAATGAATCGCAACGTCATCAGAAAGGATCAAAGGCATCTAGCCAAGAATCTGATAATGGTAATTTTTTATCTTTTCACTGTGCATTTTCTTGTTTAAATTAATATTTTATATTTTTTAGAATCTTCATCTGCTTCATCTTCAACAAGTACAGAAACATCTAGCAGTGAAGAAAGTGAACCTGTATACCAATTACGTGAAAGACGAAGCGCTAATAAATATAAATTTAATGATTATGATGCTATGATCAATGCTGCTATCCAAGATGAAGTAGAAGCAGTTCAAGGAGCTGGAAATCAAGGAAGAGGAAAAGATATTGCAACTATAGTTAATGCGGAAAAAGAAGAAGCGCAGGTAAAACTATTATTATTTATATTTAGCTTTATTTTACATCAAATTTTTGAAAAAAAATTTGCTTTCAGTTACATTTTAAAAATGAGATACTAAATATCGAAGAAATTTCGGAAAGTAAAGACGACATTGATAAAAAATCAGAAAAAGAAAGTGATGAAGAGTACAAGATGGAATGTGAGGATGATATTGATGAGGAAGAAGAACAACGACATAAAGGTGTAGCAAAAAAATTCTTATCACGTAAGAAACATCGTAGACTGAATAGTCTTGACATAAGCAGTGAAGATGATCCTGAAAGTGACGAAGACTTCAAAGGTTCAAGTTCTGAAGAGGAGGAAGATTTTGACGATCATATAACATCTTCTGATGAAAGCACTTTTGCTGATGTAAAACGACGTAATAAAAAAGGAGATTCGCGATCCGTACGACGAAGCACTAGAGCCAGAACAACGCGTTATGATGAAGATTTCAGTAAGTATAAGAAAGAAAGCCAGTCGAATACTACGTGAGATAAGAAAAATATTAATAAGTTTTAATGTCGTCTTTCGTAGTAAATGACGACAGTGAAGAAAGTGATAGACCAAAAAGAAAAAAATCTCGATCTACATGGGATTCAGATAACGAAGATAGCGATAACTCATGGCGACAGAGAAAAAAAAAGTAAGGACGTTATTATTACGCGGTTGATTTATTATTATATCATTCTTTAATGCTATTATTTTTAAATTTTGTTTTAGAAGTAGAACCATATCAACATCTAGATATAAAACATTACCGAAGACAAAGAACAGGAGGAAGAAAAAGAGAAAACGTATAATCGAATCTGATAATCAAAGCGAAAACGAGGAGTCAAATGATGAACCAAAAATTGAAATGACGTGTCAAATGCAACCGCAATTAGAAAACAACGAAACCATAATGTCTGATGTATTAGATGTTAAACTTGATAATGTAAATGAAAACAACGAAGACAAACATGTTAATCAGATAAAAAATATAAAATTACCAGAAATAAACCCGGAAATGTCTGATATATCTGCCACTCTACCATTAGAAGAAATAACGCAACAAAAGAAGAAAAAGGTAACTTTATAGATATCATTTATTTGAAATAGTTGTACTTATGTTTGTTCTTTCTCTTTTTTTCCTTGTTTAATATTTATTATTTGTTTATCCTATAATTTATCCTATAACTTATTACAGGATAATGCAATGAAGACGAAGAAAACACCAACAATTCGAAGAAAAGTATGTTAACTTTATATTAACTTTATATTATCTTTAAGATGTAACAGTTTAATTTTAACTTAATTATATTTCCAGATTATATATGGCGGTCTTCCAGATGAAAACAAACCAGAAGAAGAAGAAATATTAAGTAGGCGAACACGCGGTAAAAAGATTAATTATCAAGAAGAAATGGCATCGGATAGCGAAGAGGTAATATACATCAATATAGTATAGAAAGATTTGGAACTAAAAAATCTTTCGTATAACATTATAGGAGTTAAAAAAGGCATTAAGAAAAACGGGAGAAAGTGAGGATGAATTTGTCGTAAATGAAGGTGAAGATTTAAATGAAGATGCCGAAAAAGATTCAGATTCAGGTAATTTGAAAAAAAAGCATATTAATATTAAAAATAAACATAGAAATATTATGAATTAATATATAATATCACCTTATAGGTGATATTTATAATCCAAAAAAAGATGGCCATAAATTTAAAAATAAATCGCCAAAAACTAGAAAACCTAGGAAAAGTAAGAGTCCTGGTGGTAAGCGGAAAATGTTGAACGATGGAACACCGAAGCAAAGAAAAAAGCCTGGTCCAAAACCTGGAAGTAAAAACAAATCACGTAAACAAAATTTTTTGTTTAGTTCTGTTATTCAAAGGAGAGATGATCAAGACGGCGAAAAAGATATCATCGCGAATGTCATAGATAATCCTATAGGAGAGATAGATACGAAACTCGATGACAATCTTTCAGAGAATGTAGGTTTAACTAGTACAGCTATGTCGGTAGCAAGTTCTTTTACTGGAGATGTCCCAGAGGGTTCCTTAACAGTACTTGGGCCTAGTGAACTAGCTGATTTAGATGATGAACAATTAGAACAAATGATGATGGAGGACGAAGAATATGGCAGACGACAATTGGAACTTGCAGCTATTGAAATAACAAAAAAGAAAAAGAAAGAAGAACGAGAAGCAAAAAAATTAGAAAAGGCACGATTAAAAGCACTAGAGATATTGGCGGCTGAAAGACAACGAGATCCTAACGCGCCAGAAGGAACTGACGGAGATGTACCAAAGAAAAAGAAAAGAGGCCGTCGGAGTAAAGCTGAAATTCTTGCAGAACAGATGCGCAGGGATGGAGCGCCAAATTTGAGTATTACTACTTTGGCTGCTAGCGTGCCACAAAATTTGATAACTACTATACCGTCTAATATTACAACCAATATGTCAGCGATTATGACGCCTGATGCAGAGAGGACAGGCGAAGGACACATTCCTATGATGACAGGACCAGATGGACAACTTTTTAATCCTGATGGATCACCTATGAAACCTAAGAGAAGAGGACGTGGTAAGGGTAAAAAGACTCTTGCGCTGGAAGCGGCTAGAGCTGCTGAAGCAGCAGCAAAAGCTGCTGCTGAAGCTAATTTAATTGGAATGGGTACTGATTCCAATTCGGAGATAAAACCTAACGAAATCCCGAATGTACTTCCTACACCAGGCAGTAGTACCTCCGGTTCGGCTCCGTCCACCCCACCTGCTGGCGTTGTTACAACACAAGGACCACCTTCCTCGCAAACTCCGACTTCGCAAACTGTTTATCCATCATTGCCGCCTAACCAACAGTCTTCCGTTATCACCAGGATGCTTCAGTCTCAACCTGTGTCGAGTAGTCCACAATCATTCTCCGCTGCAGCTGCAGCAATGGGACATAAATATTTTGGTGGACCAAACGCTGGGAGTCAAATAATGGGCGGACCTAGAACAGGTTACGAAATGCAACCACGCGGAAGAATACCGTCTCCATACAGACAACCGGGACAATCCTCTATACCACCTCATTTTGCTGCTGTAAGATCAGGATCTTCATCAATGAGAATGAGGGTACCTGGTCCACAGATGTATCACACCCCGCATCATCCAATGGATCCTTCTCCGTCAGGTGGTGGACCAATATCGATTAACAATCGAGATCGTAGTTCTCCACTTGGTCCTGGACCTGCAATGATTCCACCAGCTGCTGGAAGTCCTCTGGCAAAAGGTGGTCCTACACCTCCCCCACCTCCTCCTTATGTCAGAGGAGCACCTTCCATGTCCAGGTTTACAGATAATCCCATGGGTACCAGACATCAAATGCCGCCTTTCACCAATGCTTCACCGGTAAATCATAATATGCAACAACCATCGCCACCTCCTAATCGACCACCTGGTAATTTTTCACCATATCATCCTCCACCTCCTAATTATCACTATGGTGCCTATCCACCTCCACCGCCGATGTCCACAGCAGATGATGCAGCCGCGTATCAAGGATCTCCGTATCCTGCGGATCATTTTTCCTCCTCTGCAGATAATCAACCACCTATTCAAGCCCCACCTCCCCCTCAGCCTCCACCTCAACAGCAAACGCATGCAAATGATGCTAATGCTGGAAATAAACAATACGATGAAGAAGGTACTGGAGAATTTGGCGGTTTAGTATCATACTTCAGTAGTCAGAGAGAAGATGATCTTGATTCGTAGCATGAGTGAGATCTTGGCCAACCCTGAAACTTTATGTAGGATGCATTCGATAGTGATATTTTAACGATCACAACTTTTGCTCGAGAGGGCAAATACAAGAGAAACATGAAAGGAGTTAGCAAGATGTAACGTAATCGTAAATAAAAAAAAAAGTAGATATACATCTGTATCTACTTTATGTATATTATACATATATGTGTCGGGGCATTGGAATGTTTGAAATAACGATGAAAGAAAGAGTATTTGCATAACATATGATGATGTATGTTCTAACCTTATTTTATATGCATATTGTACTGTTTTAAAAAATAAGAGAAAAGTAGAATTTAGAATTGTCTTCCTCTTTGACCTCTTAAGCAAACAGTTGTTCAAAACCGTACTTTCGAAATAAAGAAAAGGAAAGCCGCCAAAACCAAATCCGAGGTTGGCCAAGCGAAAATAAGAAAAAAAATATTATATTAATCACTAACAATGGAGCCTATTTCCTAAAAGTTGTAAGCTTTTTGTAATTAGTTCAAGTTTGATTAAATTTATATAAAGCAAACGAGACCAGCCGCTAGTAACAACGTAAGTTGCGTATTGCTAGAGAAAGGATTATACAAAAGATCTGACCAGAATTTTAACTAAACATTCATTAGTATTTACACAGGAAATTTGTGCACAGTTACTTCTGAATCCATTGTAGGTGTGTAGATGTCCTTTCCCAGATAAACATTTGCTGTTGAAAAAGTCGATCTTAGTAGTAATCAGGAGAAAAATTAACAAATTCAGACTATGCGCCGTTGTTATATGTATATATGTAAATACAATAAGTCCTTTAGATTATATTATATTATATGTATTATATATACACAGTCACGCAGAACACTATAAAATGAATTAGTGCAAAGGGCACAAATGTAATATTTAAATTAAAACGAAAGAAACGGCATCCGATTATAATAAATTAACAAATGGTGTGAAGACTACTACTATAATTATTTATAAAAAAAATTAAGAATTTATGACAGGTAGTATGTATATTGTATTTTACAAATTTTACTTGATAATTATAATAAAAGAATAAAACATTTGGATATAGTGGTATTAGAGAACAGGAGGCTGCTAAGTCCAATTCTAAGAAAGTGAAAAAAAAGAAATTTAATGAAATTGACGTTAGGCGTGTGTAGATAATCTGAAGAAATAGTTTAAAGGAAAAAATTTTTTATTCTATTATGGCGTGCAATTACAAATACATATAAATACGTTTACGTGTAGCTACATGTGTTTGAATATATATGACTTTCTTCTCTTTTTTTAATACGTGCAACAATGTTGGCAAATGATTAAAATATTTTTTTTGTTTCTTATTTTTTCTATATAAATTCTTTTTTTAGAAAATCTTTTTAAGAAGAAATATATATATATATATACATAAACAAATATATATATATATACATACAGCACACACACAATAATAATAATAATACATAAAGAATTAATTAATATACGAACGTTTCATATTATTAAAAATCGTGAACTAGACCCAAATTCAAAGTTGTTTGTGCCTATAGCGCAACTTTGAAAAATCTATTCGTTGAATCCACTTCTTGGATAAATGTTCAAAGAATATTTATTCAATCAGTGAATAGAAAGAAAATTAATTGGATCAAGTGATTCACTGAACAGATACAAAGGGGTGACAAAATCAAGATAAAAAATGTTCTTTTAACATTTATTTTTCATTTTACATGACAGCCTCCTGCTCTTTGATAAATTCGCAAAGCTGATAGTGTCTTTGCGTCGCAAAAAATCATGTATCTGTTTAGTTATCACAAGTACATGCATACCTAATACAAATAGAAATTATATAAATAAAAAAAAAAGGAAATACATTATCTTAGGATTAGCTGCTTGGGATAGTTTCCTTTACTTCGAATGTTTAACAACCGAATTTGAACGATTATATACACACATTACAACACGCCGTATAATGTAATAGAGAGAGTTTACTACCGATAATTTTATTATTTTTACATCTATGATATATTTCAGTTGTATATTGTTTAATGTACAATCTATTGTCTTCTTTAAATGTAACATATGTCTTCGGACCATTCGTTCTTACGGTACGCTTCAAGGAAAATGCGAATTTCTAACGTAAGTTTTTTTACAAATGCTCGAATGTTTATTAGAATCATGTAAAGCATTCATCGTATTGTAAAATATTATCACATGCAATTTATGATTATATTTCGGAAAATGGGAATTTAATCGTTGATAACAAAATGATCGTGCATATTTATATCGAAGAAAAAAAAAAATTGAATCTTCGATATGTCCGAAGACTCGTTTTTTATCCGATTTTGGATTCTGAACGAAAAGTCGAAAAAAAAGAAAATGAAATAAATTTTTTCAAAAAATATATATATATTATACTCGTATATATTTGTATTGCTTTTAGGCATGGCATGTGTATATTTAGAGAAATTCGTATAGCTCATTCGTATATATCATACAAGATATATTTACGATAACACAATAATTTGATCTCAAAACTGGCGTATCAAACATGGTTCATACAACTTAAAAAGAGGTACTTCATTTTCATACATGTACCAAATCTTTTCGCATTTATAAATGTTTCCTTGAAACGTAAACGGACGAAGTGTCTTATCGAGACAAATGTGGTGCAGTTTAGCTTTTCTTTTTCGTAAGGGTCTAGACCAAACGCAATTATTATATTACATGTTGTAGCCTAAATACATTTTGTAATAAAATTCAATATATTGAATATCATAGAATGCTTTTTCTTTTTTTTTCTGTGCGTTGATTGTTTGTTTAGGAAAGAAAAATTTATTTGTTTGTTTTTAATCATGTTATCCTATACTATAAAATTTTAATATTATAAATATACACATATTGCAAGTCAATTATTTATTTTGGTATAAAAATCAAAATGATAGAAGATACGTGTTAATTTTAATATACCGTAATACTAATTTTTTCATTTAAAATGAAAACAATAATATTGCAACATTGCATAATCTTTCTATTATATACCATGCTCTTAAATATATATATATATATACACACACATATACCCAATTCATGATCACACACACACACACACACACACCTCTCTGCCTGTGTGTGCGCGCGCGCATACACACACTTATATACATTTTATGTTCTTTTCATAATCATTTTAATTAAATAGAAATACAAGTATAAAGTACGTGTGTGTAATTTTCGTACAGTTATTTAAAAAAAAGAATAAAATATTATACGAAAAAATCTTTTAAACTTGTCATACATTTTATAACAAATACAGTGATTTTTTATTTTGTATACAATAGTCATATTAGAAGTAAGAAAACTTAATTTAAAGTTTGCAATCTAAGTTGTTGTTTGATATATAACACTGAATATCATTTAACAATTTTAACTTTATTATAAAATACTTTCTTATTTGTAGGCTTTACTTCACCAAATCTCACTTTTCTTTTTTCTATTTTAGCTTCTAATTCAGCCTGAAATAAAATACAGTATTAAAGAATTATTAAATAATGCAGTAATACAGTAGAATTAAAATTTTTTTTCATTAATTTTATTTATTACCTTTTCCATTAAACTAGAAACAGATGTACCAAATCTTTCTGCTCGTTTTTTTAGAACTTCGTAAGTTGTATGCTGTAAATGTACAGAATGAATTATATTACAAAAAAGATTAAAACATATATTTATAGTCAGATAAATATATATACCACAGGTGTTTTTACAGATGCAGCTGATTTATTATTTTGATTATTAATACTGAATCTTGCAGATCTAGCTTCTTTCTTTGCAGCTTCTGATAATGGTAATCCAAATTTCTTAGCTCTCATTTCTAATCTCTATTTAATAAGATAAATCTTATCATTCTTTTATATTTAATTTCTATATTTCAGTTAAGTATAAAAAAAAGAAAATATTACCTCTTTGATACCAAGCTCTGATAATTTAATTATCTTTCTTTCTGGTGGCACAATCTCAATAGTTTTTGTATCAGTCTCAATTTTTTCTGTCTGCTCATTCTTAATTTCTTCAATTACTGGCTTTCGATTTAGAACTATTTTCTTTGCACTTACATTACTTTCAGTAGATAATTTTCTTTTCTCACTACCTTCTTGTGAATCAGGTTTATTTGATAATTCTTCTATTTCTTCGTCCTGTTTAAGCGAATACATTTCTTACACTTGCATTGTTAATGCTACATTGCAAGTGAATAATAGATAAAATTTGCTTTTTTTACTTACACCAAGAACTGCATCTTCATCTAAAATTTCTTCCGCAGTCTCATCCAAAGATAATGCAGAATCTAACAACAAAAACATTATTTTATCAATCTGTGACATTTACAAAAGAGAATATAGTTCAAAATTTATTCAAAAGTGTATACCACCATGAATTGCTAATTGAAGTCTTTCGACCAATTCATTCTTGTTACCAGTAGTAGGTAGTCCTCTTTGTTTCAATTCAATTTTTAAATCTGCAACCTGTTCAATGATATTCATCTATAGTTATAATTCTTTTTTATAATTTTCAAGATCTATAAATATTTTTCATATTTAATAAAATATATAACTTTCAAATATTAATAAAGATTATCTAATATAATTATACAAGCTAAACAGAAATTAATATATAAAAGATTGTTTCATGTTACACAAAAAAAATTTCTTCTAATTTTGAGGTTAGCTTCCCGGGTGTAGTCGCGTATCAACAAGATATATATGGAATACCTTCATTTTTGAAAGTTCTGTAAGCCCTTTTTCATAAGATGAATCAGCCATGATGTATTAATATTATTTTCTTTCAATTGGTATGCCTTTTCGATGCCTGATTAACATGTCACAATTTTGCACAGAATATTTTCAAGTGGTCAGAGAATATATCAAATTGAAATGCATACAACACAAAAAGGTTTAATGTCACTACTTTGCAAATGTGAACTAACCTTTATTGATCGTCTATAAATAGTATCTCAAGAAAAAAATCATCGACTTTTGTTTTTAATAAATGAAACTGAATATAATGAAACTGAAATGTTTACTTTGAAAAAATGTACTTTTTCAATTTGCCGAACGTATATGTTTATTTGTTACTAAATAATTCAAATATATATATGGATTATTTTTCGAGGTATCGATTACTCTCAATTGCACTTTCTACAATGCGACGTGCAATAGAGATACAAAACTTAAATTAAAATACGTTTATGGTTTATGGATTAACATAGAAACCGTAGATCATTGTATTTGTAATAATAATTATAATTTACAATGGTAGATGAATCAACAAAGAAGACATTAAGTAATATTCCATTATTACAAACAAAAGCAGGTCCTAGAGATAAAGAATTATGGGTTCAGAGACTAAAAGAAGAATACCAAGCTTTAATTAAAGTAAATTTTATTTTAAATATTTTGATTTACCATATGGTTGCTTCAACTTCCTGATAGAAGAACTATTCTTACTTAAATAAGCAATCGTATTTAAATATATTTGATTTGATTTAAAAAATTTTGTACTTATTTTTCAGTATGTAAAAAATAATAAAGAATCTGACAATGACTGGTTTCGCCTGGAATCAAATAAAGAAGGTACAAAATGGTTTGGTAAATGTTGGTACATACATAATTTTTTAAAATATGAATTTGACATTGAGTTTGATGTAAGTATATATATATATTTTTTTTTTAAATACACAATTTATTTTTTAATTTTCTGATAAAATTAATATATTCAGATACCTATAACATATCCTACAACAGCACCTGAAATTTCTTTACCAGAACTAGATGGTAAAACAGCAAAAATGTATCGAGGTGGAAAGATTTGTCTTACTGATCATTTTAAACCATTATGGGCACGTAATGTACCAAAATTTGGAATTGCACATGCCATGGCACTTGGAGTAAGTTTTTGTCTTTTATCTGTAAGCCCGTTTATGTTTATAAATAAATTTTTAAGCCAGATTATTGTAACATATATTTTGTCATAACGTATATTTAAAAAATTTATTATATTTTCAGCTTGGACCTTGGTTAGCAGTTGAAATTCCTGATCTTATAGAAAAAGGTGCTGTAGCCCATAAAGATAAAATTGATGAATATAAATCATAATTATAAGAAAAAATATATAATACAAATGAAGACGTTAGTTAATAAGATGAATTACTAATTAACTTATTTTAATAAATTATAAGATGATTTATATAATATATTGAATTTTACATTTAATACAAATATGTTTCATATATTATGTACAATAATTATTTGTCTTCATCTATTTTAATATTTTTTGTGTCTTGTATAATTTCGTCTAATTTATATAAATCTTTAAGTGACATCTTTCCACTACCTCTTTCTAAAGGTTTTGGTTGTGATGGATCTGGCTTCCAACCTAATAGATAAATTATTTGAAATGTAGCAGGTATGTATGGAGTACCATCTTCTTTCATTTTTCCATATAGTTCTTTGTATATTGCTGCAGCAGCAAGAATAGTGTCTTTATTTAAACGTAATTTTCGATTTCTTATTGCATTATTCTCTGCCATTCCTGTAAAATTACATAAACAATTTGACAAATTCAGTTATGCGAAGTACAAATAGCAATTCTAGATATCACCTTTTAAGTCCCACATTAATTCAAACACATTTGGATATCCAATAACAATTTCATCGACGTCAATAGTTAACATGGTAAAATTAGCTCTTGTCAATAAGTTGCCAATATCTCTAACATCTGCAAATGGAGAGATATGTGCTGAAATCCCACCATCTCTTTCTAATTCTGCCAATTGTAAGGAACTTCTGAAAAAAACATCCACACTTGTGTATTTATCATATCTTTAACTTACCTTTAAATTACCTTAATTCAAATAATGTTTCTCCTCCAAACAAAGCTCCTATGAAAACTCCATCATTTTTTAAACTTTTATTAATATTTTTGAAGCATCCTGGTAAATCATTCACCCAGTGTAGACTTAATGAACTTATTACTAAATCTAAACTATTTTGTTCAACTGAAAAATTTTCTTCATCCATTGTTATCCGCAATATTTTAATTCCTTCAGTAGCTTCTGCTTGATTTACAAAGCTAGTTGACATGTCAGCTAAAATTAATTCTTGCACACATTCTGTTAAAATATGTTTTGATACGTAACCACGACCACATCCTAAATCAAGTGCTTTTTTGAAGTTTTTTTTTATATCAAATATTCTATCTGCAAGTCTGTAGCCTACTTCTTCTTTGATGTAATCATATAGTTTTACATCAGCTGCTCGTGCAGCACGTTCTTTCTGCAGCAATTTTGTATTTCTGTTAAAAATATACATTACACTATCTGTAGGTAAAGCATAATTTGTCACGCTATAATTTATGTTACGAATATATCGAATATTAAATGTAAATGAGGATAAACACCGTTCGAACAAGATAGACATTTTTTGCAGTTGAAAATTTTCGTATGTATTTTACTCTAAAATTAGCTTACTATTATGTATAAATATTTGAATTAATAATAATAATAATATTTATTATCTTTGTAATACTTTATAAATGTACATTTCTTATTAAAGTTTTTTTCGTGCCTAATGATTTTAATATGTATACAAGTTGGTACAACATAACCTACTCTAGATACATAGTATATATTATAGTCAGTGGTATTATAATATTAATATATATTTGATATATAGAATATTAATTTATATTTAATCCTAATTAACCAAATTTTCTAAAATTTTTACCACATAATTTTAACTTACGAATTTTAGATATATTGGAAAAATATTTCAGATTTCTTTTTTATTAAATGAATAAAGCATAAGAGAAATTATATTTAATATTTTGTTTATTTAATTACAATTATAATTTTATTTTAAAATTTAAAAATACCAAAAAATTATAGAATTGTGGTTTATATTTTTTTCAATGTAATTAAAACCTAGTTTTTTATGGCAACATTTTATTCTTACATTATTTTTATAATTAAATACTTTTTCTTACAATTAAAAATTTTATAATATATATTTATTAAACTAAAACAAAAATATATTTTACAAAGAACAATTCTTTAAATGTAATAGTTCTCTTTTCCCTTTTTTCTTATTTTTTACATCTAAACATTATTTTATATAATTAATAATAAGATTATTATATGTTATTTAACATTATGTAGGTCTGTTTATTATTGTTCATGAAAATCCAAATTATCTACAGTTAAATGTAAATTTCTGTTATTTAATAGATTATATAATTTAAAATATGCATAAAAATTACAATCTTTAAAAGTCAATATAATATTTATATCATGTTTTATATATAAAATTTTATAACATAAACTTTTTAATGCCATAGTTAGTATCACATGTGTCTTCGACAGTACTAAGATACAATAATATTTAGAAGCATAATATAGAACATTTCTCCAAAACCAAGGTACGTTAATTTAATAGTAAATGCAACTGTTTTATTCTTACATATCATACATACATATAAAAATTATAAAATATTTATTATTTAATAAGTATAAAAATTATATTATTGTTATATTTCAAATATAATGCTTGAAATTATAATACATAAATAAAATTTAACTGTAAATAAAGAAATCAATATTATTTTATAAAATATACAAAAAAAATATAATATAATTTTTAAATTATTGAAACTAATAAAACAGTTATTGATTTGGTTTCGGAATAATGTAACAAAATACTATCAGATTTATAATTCGATTTATAAGGCAGGACTTCACTCAGATGTATACTTCATAGTGCTTTAATGCATTAATTATATATATTTCAAATATTAGAAACAAATATAAAAAAAATATATGAAATAGGCATTAATAATATTGCAGCACATACAATTTGATATACATGTAATGTATGTTTTTATAAAATGTCTTTAAAAAGATACATATGAAATATAAATATTGTAATAAATTCGCTATAACATGTTCCATAATTTTACTTAATTTTCAGAATGAAGGCAATGAAATTCGCGAATGATAGAAATGATAAAATTTGTGCGCAAATAATGAAAAAAAATTTTAACTAGTATATATTAAAATATAAAAATTTTAACTTTAATTTTCACATTTATCACAATGCTATCCCTTTTAATATTAAAATAAACTTTTTTACAATTAAATGAATAAATTTCAATATTATTTATAATATAATTAAGTACAAGTAATAAATTTTAATTACAATAAAAAAATTGACACATTTCGTAATATACATAAAACTGAATGTATCATCTTTGTGTGTTCTGCCTTGTAATATAACAAAGTTTACAAATAATAAATGTTTCTCATTCGTAATCTTTGAAAAAATTAAAAAAAAATTCTATATAAAAAAGATCAGTCCTAAATATTACTAGATAATTTGTACAGTTATATAACAATGAAAACAAATGTTAATATATTTTGAGGCATAATATATATTACACCTGAAACTTAAAAAAATGTTTAAAATGTCGTTGTATGTGAAAAAATATCGAAATTTTAAGAAAAGATTTGATAATAAATCTTGAAAATAAACATGAAAAATAACTTTAACAAGATAAATGATTGAAATATAGATAGCGAAATAATATGAAAGCAATTATACTTTGATTACACTTAACGTAATTACTATTGAAACTTTGCATTCTAAGTTCTTTTTCTGTTATTTTATAGTACTGCGATTAAATTGCAAAAAAAATATTGTTTTTCTATAATATATTCTAACGTGCTATCGTTTATTTTTAATCAACAATTTAAGTGCCAAGTAATATTATCATTTCTACATATTTTTTACGTGCATACGTAAATAAATACATGCAGTGTACGTAAATTGGATTTGAACATATTATGATAACACAAATATTTGAAATAACCAATTTGAAAATTAAATTTTTATAGAATATGTATATTGATAATTCGAAAATTCAGAACCACATATGGTAAGAGTAACAAAGCCTCTTTGCTTTTAAAAAATTTCGTTATTTGATGACATTAATATTACTTTGGCCTTAAATTACTGATAGAAGTGGCTAATGTAAAATGTGCTGACGTTGAAAGAGTTGTCGCAGTACATGTAGGGACCGAAATATCGCCCATAGTTGTAGCATTTGTTTCGCTTTTATATCGAATGTTAGTATATTCTCGACCTAAATGTAGAGATTTCTGTAAATAAAATATAAATAAAATGTAAATCAATAAACGCTGTAAGAATATAGTTATTAATTAATTTCATAATAATTATAATTACTTGCTCTGCTTGCATCCGCTGAGATACAGTTTCGATATAGTGTAATACAGCCAAATAAACAAACTTGTATTGCGCTTCTGTTTGAACCATTCCTGATCTTTGTGAACGTACTCGTTGAATTGTTCTCTGAATATCAATTTCGCAATCCAGCCCTACAAATATAATGCAAAAATATTCTTGAACATGTTACTTAAAATATGAACTCCAGATAAAATTAGTTTGTCAGTAAAATAGAAATATCATTACCATGACGCTTAATTTGATCAAGAATCATATCGATAACAATAAATGTTCCAGTTCTACCAATTCCAGCACTACAATGTACAAGAATTGGCCCAATGCTTGATGTGTTTTGACCGTTTAAAGCAAGAGAAGCAGCAATTGACTCTTGTCTCGCATTAACATCATGAAGGAAATTTAATACACATCCAGGATCAGATGGAACACCATGATCAGGCCAAGCCTAAAATATTTATATAATGCAATCAATTTATTTTTTTTTAAATGTATGTAGGAATTTTATAAATAAAAATAGATACTTGAAAATGATAATGATAAATTCGTCTAGCTTCTGCAAAACCAGATGTATTTCCGTTTAATAAGAATTCTCGCAATGTGTAGTCTGCCGTAGAAGTACGAGATAAAGCACGCACTTTCCATTCACCTCCATATTCGGTAATTTCACCTTCCTCTGGCCAATATCGAGCACATTTATTCTAAAAAAAAAACATATTTTAAACATAAAATTTCATTTAAAAATAATAATTTCGAACATCATACCTTTCCTCTTTCCATTTCTTTAGTGGTCATAACTATCACTCGAGTGTTTTCTTGATATACCATATGCCAAAAATCTTGAATTGTATTTGGGAGGCAACCTTGTGTTGCTATATAACATTTATTAAATGAACCACCATCACCGCAAGTGTTAATTCCACTAGCTTGTCCATCTCCTTCTTCATTCTATAAATGTATATACGCAAATACATATTAAAAATAATCTTAATTTTAGTATTTATTATATAAAATACTGCAATTACTATAATTATATAAAATACTGCAAATACGAAAGTAATAAATAAATTTACCTTAATGTAATTAGCATTAATGTAGTCAGGTCCAGGAATATTTGGGTCTACATCTTTCAAACGTACTCTTGTATGATCAACTATAGAACAATGATTAAAGTTTATGACGGACAATTAAGTTAAGCAAATAAACAAATAAAAGAATCTTACATGGTAAAATATTTTTATATCGATTCTTTGCTCGATTTTCAGGACGCAATCCTTCTTTTCTGGAAAATAAATGACGACATTCTAACTGTTGTAATGACTCAAATTCTTCCCAGAATCCGGCTTTTCCTTTACCACGCCCTACTCCGCCTTCATTACTACCTGTGGCTCCATTCCACAACCATCCATTTGAACAACCATTTTCTTTATGTAATTGTCTTACTCTACTTTCAATACCACTAGCACTTATACGAGTAGCATTGAAAGGTTGTCTAAAAAACAATAAATATATCATTAAGATACATATAACTTCTGAAAAATTAATAAGTTTTTATATTACCGTAAATGAACAACACTTCCACTTGTTTCAACCATTGGATTACGTTTATAATGTTCTATTAAATCAGTTAAGCTATCAAATTTATCACCTCCACCAACATCATATTTATTATCCTGCAATATTCATTATTTCCAATAAAGAAACACTAAAGATTTTAATTTATATACAGAAATATTAAAAATAATGAAGATATACAGTAAAAAAATACAAAATGTAATTAACCTGAGATCGTATTATAACATGTGTAACACGATCATCTGTGCGAACAGATAATACAAAGTCACCAGGTTTACTCTGGGATTCACGAACCAGAAAAGATCCATTTTTACCTCGCTCCAACATTAAACGTTCTGCTTCTTTAGCTGATAAATGGCCATGGAACCACCTTTACCCATATTTTACTATTAACACATACCATGCTATATGCGTGCATTTGAAATAACAATAACAAGAAAATATTGCAATACATAACAAACTTTGCTGTAATGTTTATTATGAAAAATATTATGTACTTAAACAATATTATGTTTATCTTGATTGAACAAATACCTTTCAGTCGTTGGATCTGCACAATTTAGTGGATATTTCAATTCAATAATTTCTCCATTCTTTTCGCGCAATTGTCCTCCATTTTCCATGTAAAACTGTACAAGTTCCGACAATGTTGCAAATTTTTCACCACCATAAAGATCATAGAAATCTCCTGTATTTTGTATTTTAATATGAGTCACTTCTCCATTCCGTCTAAGAATAACATAAAGGTATCAAATATCTTACAATTTAAAATTGATGAAACAAACGTAATTATAATCTGTATAATATGTGTATAATATATATAATATATGTATCTATTGTATATATACCTAACAGATAACGTAAAGTCACCAGGATTAGATGAACTTGGACGTGCCAAAAATGAACTATCATAACCCCGTTCCATTAATAAACGTTCTGCTTCTAAACCCGATATATTCGGATGAAACCATCTGCAATAAGAATATTTATATTCTTATAATGTAAAAACCTTCTTCTAAAACAATATATAAAGCAGAATCTTTACTTTGAGACAGATAGTAAATTTCATTTTATCTCAAAAACCTGCAATCTATTCAAATTATTTTTATACTTAATGTTCTATTCTTTTCCAGCATATTAAATTTATATTTATTTGTTATTAATAACAATAACAAACAAATAATATTATTAAATGTATTACACGTAAATAATTGGAGATATGCATGATCAATGCGCATATAAAACGAAATTGTATCCATTTTTGGACATGAAAAATTCAACGACATTAATTGATTTAAATGGACATAGTTTACCTCTAAATCTATTTAGATAATCCATCGGCTAGCACCGATAAATGAATGGGCTTGTTCAGATCATCCGTGAATTACTAGAACTCTATATTTTTTTATGCAAGTATAAAAACGTGCCTCACCTGCGAGATGCCATATCGTGATTCCAACTATGACCAGCTGGTTATTAATAATTCATAATGCTACATCGATATTCACACTTATAATATGCAATTATAATTACTTTCAACTTAATACTAACTATACATCGCTACAATCTTTGACATATTCACTTCACACGAAAACAAAAAGACCGAGGATACTAAAAGAGTCTGTCATTGATCTATAGTAATTAGAATGGACACCTGGAAAGCAATAGTGAAACTTAATGTCAATTTCATACGTTCCAAATTGTAAATAACTTCACACATTTTTAATAAACTTAAACGTTTATCAATTGTTTTTTTTTTTAAATTCATATTATTATAACTTCAAGTTAAAAAACTGAATCAATTTGCAAGTTCCTATATATCACATATGCGAGTTATTAAATTAAGTTTTTGTAATGTAAATTGAACGGCAATACTTCAAATATTAAATATTAACGATACTTTTTACATCTGCAAAAGAAATTCTGTATTTGATAATTTAATAGTATAAAAACGTTAATTTCATGCGAGTATTTTGTATTATTATCAGCGTTTTATACATAAATTTTTAACAATTTATGATAAAAATAATTAATTATTTCACGTAATATCAATAAAGCAAATATTATTCAATGAGTAACTAATTTATCTTAGATTCACATATAAATAGAATCGTACAAATATGTGTATGTATATATTATATTACGTATATATAAAAGTATCTATCTCAACTAGAAATGGAGGAGAATGGAGACAATAAAAAATGATTATCGCCTACAATAAAAAGAACAAAATAATTTAAAATGTGAAAAATCTTTTTTGATTAAAATTGGAAATTATACTACAATGAATAATTATTTATATTAAAATATCGTATTGAAGAATGCTGAGTATCAGAAAATGTATTTTATAATCTTATTATATGATGCGAATTTTGTGAATGTGGATATCATCGAAATATGTTCACTCCATATAAATCGCTTCAATTGGACGTTTTGACATCTTACTTATGATAGATTGCGCTGTAATCAGAGTACTTAAATGATTAATACACATTTCTTAAAATATATATTTAACACTGTGTCATATGTTCCTGATTGCAAGTTACTAAATATTTAATTAATAGAGATAGTCGAAAATTGTTTTTATATAAAGATGGGTCAACATGTTTCAAGAACTGATTTCGAATGGGTTTATACAGAAGAACCACATGCTTCACGGCGTAAAATAATTTTAGGTATGAATACAAAGTATTATAAAGTATTTTGAGTTTTATAATTTCTCTCTATTTATTTCTGAAATAAAAGTTTGGTTTGTTTAGCGAAATGCTATAAATGAAACTAACAAATATTGAATGATTAATGTTTAAAAATTAAATTGATAGTTTTTTCAAACTTTAATTCATCATACACTAATTTTACAATACATAATATATATTTTTATAAGATATATTAAAACATTTCACTCTCTTTTCAGAAAAATATCCACAAATAAAAAAATTATTTGGATATGATCCAAAGTTTAAATGGGTGGTAACGGGAATGGTTTTAACTCAGTTTATTTCTATGTTTTTTGTGAAAGATTTAAGTTATCCAATGTTGTTTCTTTTAGCATATTGTTTTGGAGGTGTAATTAATCATTCTCTTATGTTAGGTAAGTAGAAATATTCTTTAATTAATTTGAATAAAATATTTAACATCTATATATATTATATATTGTTAAGTTCACATGAAATAGAAAAAAGTATCTATTTTTATATATTATTATTAAGGATTTGTTTGACTGTAAAAATTATTAAATATTAATAACTTTTATACTACAATATTTATAATATCAGTCTAAGAGAGATGACTCATTAATTCTTATTAATCCTTTAATCTAATCTAATAGATCTATATATTATAAATATGATGTATCTATATAATTTTATCTTTAATACTTGATATCAAATTTAATTAAGTATATTATTTTGTTCATAGCAATACATGAAATAGCACATAATCTTGCTTTTGGACATGCTAGACCCAGAGCTAATAGATTATTTGGATATTTTGCTAATTTACCTATAGGTATACCAGTATCAGTTAGTTTTAAAAAATATCATCTTATACATCATCGTGTAAGTACAAATATAATAAATACAAATTAATTTAATAATAAAATAAGAACGAAATAATATTTATATACTAAGTATTATAGATGTAATATATTTTAATAAATAAATTACAGTATCAAGGAGATGAAAAATTAGATACAGATTTACCAACATTGCTAGAAGCAAAATTATTTTGTACAACATTTGGAAAATTCTGTTGGATATGCCTACAGCCATTTTTTTATGCATTTAGACCTCTTATTGTTTATCCAATGGTACCTACATTAATGGAATATATAAATTTAGTAATACAACTTAGTTTTGATGGACTGATATGGTATTTTTTTGGTATGGTATTCTTTTATTTTAGTAATCATAATAGTATTTATTTAATAGTATATATTTCATTAGAATTGTATCACACAAATATTATGTTATAGGTGGAAAAGTCTTAGTTTATTTATTATGTGGATCAGCAATGGCAATGGGATTGCATCCCGTTGCTGGACATTTTATATCAGAACATTATATGTATAGAAAAGGTTTTGAAACATATAGTTATTATGGTCCATTAAATTGGATTACATTTAATGTTGGATACCACAATGAACATCATGATTTTCCTGCTGTTCCTGGCTCAAGATTACCAGAAGTAAGTATCATTTACATCAACAGATATTTGTCTTTACTTTTTAGTTGTAAAAATATTTTCTTTTTTCCTTTTTTTTTAGGTAAAACGAATAGCTTCCGAATTCTATGATAACTTGCCACAACATAACTCTTGGGTTTCTGTTTTATATGATTTCGTTATGGATCCTGATATAGGCCCATATGCAAGAACGAAACGAAAGCATAGAGGACTCAATTCATAAAAAATTTAGATAATTTTAATAAGTAATATTGTGATTAGCATCTGAAGCTTAATATTACACAAATTAAAAAATATTCTTTATAAAATATTCTCTATTAATTTATTATGTTATATATATTAAGTATTAATAAAAGAACATACTATACTATTAGTAATACATTTGAAAGAAGTATTAAAGTTTTTTAGATTTTTCGCATGTTTGGAGTATTTATGAAATTATAAATACATGAGTAAGCGAAGGATGCTAAACTGTAAACAATTTTCTATTTTCTAGTATTTGTAAATAAGTGTACTAAAGTTGTAATAAAGAATACTGAATATATATACAATTATTAAGAATATATATATGATATTTTTTAAGCAGATGCTTATATAAATGGAATTTCATAATTTTGTAATCTAGTCATAATGGAATAAATTCTTTAATTACAATAATGTTTTAATTACGTAAATTTATTTTAATTATACAGAATTTAATAAAAAATAAATATTAATCTAATCATATAGTAATAACAATTGTCACATTGAAAATTTATGTTCGAAAAAATAAACGGTATAATTATGATTATATCTTCATAAATTTGTAAATTCTTTATAACCATTTTCGTCAATATGAAATTTTGAAATTAAACAAGATACCCAACCTACCAACTTATATATTTTAAGATTCCTATTTACTATTAATGGCAGTTCACAACTACTTTTCTCTTGTAAACTATATCCTCAATTAAATGATTAAAATACATTTCTTATATATTGATTATATATGATTGTTGAACTTGAAAATTTGATAGGCTTAGGGAACTAAATTTTATTAAATTTTATGTATAGTAATAACAAGAAATGAAAGTATGATACCAAGTTTGTCACATAATTAAAATTCAATGAAGATTGTTGATATTTATAGGTCATTTTTTTCGAAACGTAATAACTTACTGAGAACCGATGAAATTGTATTTCGAATGAATTTTATTTCAGAGAGATTGTAAAATATAGATTTATTAACTGAAAGTTGCCTACCTATATTTGTTTTAACTAAGGATGTCATGGAATAGACAACAAAAATAAAATACAATTTTGATCTGAAAGAATAATTTTCGTTTTGTATAATTTAATAGATACGTAATGGCAGAAAATAAGTGGTGAAAACAAAATAATATTTGTTTATTTATCATAATATGATTTCTCGTAAAGAAAGTTACGGCTCCGTATGTACGCTTTGTACAAAGTGTCTGCAATGGTGCATCAGTCAGATAATGGTAAAAATAATGTTTACATGAATGATATAATTCTGCACACATGTATATCTATAATACAGTGAATAGAATGGGAAAGCAAAACGGATCTTGTTGGTGGTTTGTGAAAGCCGTAAAATGGATACCAGTTATTTTTATTTTGACGATAGTCTTATGGTCGTATTATGCTTATGTGGTGCAGTTATGTTTTTGTAAGTGTTTTTATAGATTGTTCATTCAATTTTCGCTAACGAAAATTGAATTTTGTAATAAAAACAAAATTTAATTATTATTTTTAATATTTCACATTTGTAATGTATGCACAAACTTTTGAACATGTGTACTAATAATTCTTTTTTTCATTCTAGATACTGTAGATAATTATGTTCAAAAAGGTTTGTATAAATATTAATAGAATATTACTAATGAAAATATAGCTCCATTAATAATTTATTGATTTTCTTGTTTTTTTTTCTTTGTTAACAGCCTTTTACTTGTTTTTCTATCACATCCTGTTTCTATTATTTTTATGGTCTTATTGGCAGACTATATTTACAGATTTAATAGAAATACCATATAAGGTAAAAACTGATTTATATAATAATTATTATATTATGAAAGTAATACATAAAATATTAATAAAATGTTTTGTATAGTTTAAAATACCAGATGCAGAAATGGAAAAATTTCATCAAGCTGAAACGGAAGAAGCACAGAGACAAATCCTAGAACGATTTGCACAAGGTCTTCCAGTTACGAATCGCACTGTAAAAGGAGGTATAATGTCTTTATATTTATGTATTAAATAATATATATATATACATATATGAAATATATCTTTTAGTAATACGTTTCTGTGAGAAATGTCAATTAATTAAGCCAGATCGAGCACACCATTGTAGTGTGTGTAGTACATGTGTTTTAAAAATGGATCATCATTGTCCATGGGTAAACAGCTGTGTAGGTTTTCACAATTATAAATTTTTCATGTTGTTCCTGGCATATGCCCTTCTTTATTGTATATTCATTACTGCTACATCTTTACAATATCTTATACGTTTTTGGAAAGTAAGTATCATTTATTTTACAATACCTTTGTTAAATTACATATTTTAATAAATTAATATAAAAATATAATTTAATTTAATTTTTTTAATTGTTTTTTAAATATAATTGAAAAGTATATAAATAACTGAGATTATTTTTTAATTGTATAATAATACAAATATTTTTTTATAGGGGGAATTGGATGGAATGGGTAGATTCCATCTATTATTCTTATTCTTTGTCGCATTGATGTTTGCAGTTAGTTTAACTTCCCTTTTTTTTTATCATTGCTACCTTGTTTTACACAATAGATCTACATTAGGTAATTAAAAGCATGTTATATAAAAATTATTTTATAAAGCATTTAGAACATGCACTACATACCATGAATTATTTTGTAGAGGCATTTACACCACCTATGTTCCGCACAGGAAAGGATAAAGATGGTTTTAGTCTTGGAAAGTATAATAACTTCCAAGAAGTTTTTGGTGATAATCCTAAACTATGGTTCCTTCCTATTTTTACTAGGTAAGTTTAACAGTATTTAGCAATATATATCGTAATATAATATAAATATCGTATTATAATATAAATTTTTTAATAATGTAATAATGATAAGTTCTTCATAAGATTATGAACCATTTGCACAATATAACCATGAATTTAGTACACTTCTTGTATTTATGTAGTAATTATAATTTGTATTAATCGTGTAAAAGAGCATGTGTATGCTGATATGTGTATATGCATATATATACACGTTATATATATATATATATATATAATATTGTAAATTGGTAAATGTTAATATTTCATACATTATATATATTTCAGGAAATTTAATTGTTTCTATTATTAAATATAATCATAATACTTTAATCAAATAGTACTTAGAAATATTATACAGATGTTTCTATAGCACTATTTGTTGTGTTGTATGCTTTTTTATTAAGTAAGCATAGTAGTATAGTTTCACGAAAAAGTAATGTATTACAGATGTATTACAAAAGTGAAGAAAATGGGAAAATAATAATTTTTTAAGTATATAATTATATAAACTGCCTTAAAAATCAAATTATAATATTAAATTACAAAATGAAATTATATAAATTAATTTTCCATTGCATTCAATAACGTTAGAGAAATATTGGGAATAATTTTAATACATTAAGTTTTGATACTATTTATTTCTCCAACTTGTTTGTATTAATTTTTGTCTTTCATAAATAAATACATAAATACAATAGTAATTGCATTACCGTTAAAACGCGATGGATACGTTAAATGTGTTCTAGTCTTGGAAATGGTGTCACCTATCCAGTACGTGCGCAACATCAAGGCACATCCAATACTTATGACTCCATGGGCAGTACCCGAAACAGGTCAGCATTATAGAAATCTACAGTGCCAATATAATAATAGTTATGTATAAATCTTACTATGGAACTCCTTAACATTGTTGATTAAAAGGCAGTTAATATTAAAATAAATAATATATATTTCAACAATATCTAAATTCCTAATAGGATAAAAAAAAGGAAACATTTTCTTCATATCTTTTTGGTAAATTTATGCACTTTTTTACAGAACCATCTTCCTTCCATTATCATTTATTTTATACAGAGTTCCAAAGTAACAAAGTTACACACACACACACGCGCGCGCACACACATATATATATATATTTGCTTCAAGAATGCATGTAATATTTATTTTACTTGTGCTTTTATTTAATTCTACTTTAAAGATCAATGTTATATTTACAAATTTCTGGTTGAATTATTATTAATATTAAAAGTAACATAAAATTGATGAAATTACAATGTTGATGTTATAGCTGTACGTATTTAGTGCTCCTTATTAACTGTTGATTGATGAGGTGCGTGTTTTGTTATTTGTTAAAATGTGTTGCAATAATTATGAATTTTACTTAATATAACACTAATTTTTTGTGAAAAATGTAATTTTTATAATATTTACTAATATTGTTATATTTGTTCTATAATGATAGCTATATTGAAATTCATTTCTATACTTATAATAAGATTAAATTTATATTTTATAATTTTTTTTAATCTATAGATAATCATTGAGATGGATTTTGAAATAGGTATTATTTTTCTTTTTACGCAAAAAATGCATATTTTTTATAGATGCATTACATTGTATGTCCATAAAGATTATCATTATAAATACTTTGCTATTATAAGAAGTATTGTGCATCTGGTTCTTGCAAATTGATATTTATTTGATCATTAGAAGTGGCGTAACTATATTTAAAATTATTTTTTGTATATATTTTATTTATAAAATGAGTCTCAGATAAATATAGAAAAAAGAAAAATATATTTGAAATATTAAATACAAAAATAGAATTATTATAATTTTTACATATTTCATCAGAGATAAATAGATACGCTACCTCTAAAAATAAGTGGGATTACATGAAGTAGAAGGTAGGGTGTGGGTTGCAGTTTTGGCGATGGGGTAAACTTTCCTGAACGGCTGTGCAATGAAGACACACATACTCTGTTGGGACATGCTACCCAACAGTGGGGTGATGAGACTGAACTTGACTCTCCACCTCCCTATGGGTCACAATCAGGTATTGTGTAGTCTGGAATCCCTATTTTGAGACAGTGCATTAATTTATATGCATTGTTTAAGTATATGATACTTTTAGTACAAAACTCATGTTAGTCACAAGTGTCCTGCAATCATTTAAATAGCATTACATACTGATATCAGCTCACACTATTAGTAATTTTCTTTTTTGTCACAAATAAGTTACTATTATTATCTCATTGAAAAAAAAGTACTTTATTTTGAAATATTTTAAATATTTCAATTTTAAATATAGGCATTGATCGAGTTTGGGGATTTATTGTATTTATTGTAAACTCTTTATTTTTATTAATATATTACTGTAAAAAAATAATTGATTTAAAAAATTATAAAACTGATAGCTTAACTCTTTTTTTCTTACTAGCATCAAATCATCATAATATCAATTGATAAAGAGTTTACTATAAGTTCGTACCTTATGTAAATATATTATAGTATATTGTATAATTTTTTTTCTAAAGGAAATTTAGTTAATAATTTAATATAATAATCGACATATGATTACATGCTTAAAAAGTAAACAAATGTGTAGTAAATAGTACACATTTTTTATAATAATATTTGTATAATAAGTAAAGCAAAGAATTATATCTCAAAAAATATATAAAGATTATATAAATTGTATATTAATTTTATGTTATTATATTCTTTATTTGCATTTATTAATTTATAAGATATATTTATATAAACTATTT